TATCAAATCAAAAATGGAAAACAAGCAAGGTACAATTAAGTAGAATTTAAATCAAATTTAAATTAATTTATAGAACTTGAACAAAAATATACATACAAGTTGTATAAGCATCAATAACATGCAAGACAACAAGAATATAAAATATAACACCCCCTACCTCACAAGAGGATTGTTCCTTTTGAATCCAAGACAAATCAACACAAAATGGCAAACCCTTCAAGGGTTATGTAGAGGAGGATGAGGGGAACAAAAAGTATTCTCAAGGTTAAGCTTGGAAATCAATGGAAGGTTCTCAAAAATCAAAGTCAAGGCCAAAGCATCAAGCTTCTCTAATGGTGGCTAGGGTTTGTGGTGAGGAAGATAATGACATAATGTGATCTTGAGTGGAGGAAATAGAAATCCTCCACTCACTATGCGATCCTACACTATGGTCAACACACACATCTATGGTCAATTGCACAAAAACCCTTCTTTAAAACCATAATCTCAAAATGGCCTAAAAATAATTGCAAGACTTAATTTGGAGCATACACTTGTCACTTATCCAATCCAACAAGTGGTCCAATCCTAGGCCGACAAATGGGTGAATCTCCACCCTCCATGTGTCAAGAGATTAAGCTTTCAAGTGGTTCCACCAAAATGTCAACAAGTGGTTCCATAGGAGTGTGACACTTGTCACACTTTCCAAAAATTACAAAAGGTCCTTTTTGAAAATATCTTCCAAATTAAATTGCAAAATGGTTCCCAAGACAAAAAATAATTACTTTATTTAATTACACAAAACCCCATAAGTTAAGAATATTACAAAAAAATTATGCATCCATACCCTTTACAAGAAAGGTAAACACTTAGCATGCTTTTCTAAGAAAATAGAAATACACATTTCTAAGAAATCATATATCATGAGTGCATGCAAAAATGGAAGCAAAACCGAACACGAAAAGCGAGGTTGTGCCAACAAAGTGATAAACGGGAAAAAGACAAAAAGTGAATAGTGTCAAAAAAGTGAAAATGCGGAAATGACTCCGTCCTGAAAGGAAGTTGTCAATCCAAACGAAAAAGTCTCAAAAACCATTTCCAAGCACTCGAGATGACACTCAACGATAAGAAACAGAACTCGAAAAAAAAATTAAACGAAAAAAATTTATCCGTAAAATTTGAGAAAAATGAAAGGAAGGTAAATGACCGGGTTATTACAAGTTGAACAACACTACCTTGGTTTTGGATGGATCTTTATATATACAATTATGGTACCACGATATGAGCTTGGGTCTCAGGATCGATCGTTAGGGAGCGTATATGCAGTGGGATGCATAGCTGGCTATGATGGTTTGAGGTGTACCCTGTTAGGTCTAGGTACTCATACCCACTTCAGGTGCGTTTTGTATGTTACCTACTAGTCAGGTTGAGACCGCCTTGTAGTCCAGTGAGAGTCCCTTAGTGTGGATATATATATTTATAGACTAGATAGTTATTGTTGAGTTATCTAGGATGTATCTGCGTATCAGGACTCTGTTTGGATTGTAATTAGAGTAGAACTTGTTCGTGGGCCTGACCCACTATTATTTTTCTCAGGTATTCGATAGTTCCCATCTTAGAGCTTGATCGTGCTGAGCAGAGACAGTTACTCACTCCTCTGACTACGTAGGATTATTACTTATGTTTTAGTTTTGGCTTTCTTTTAGTTCAGTTATTTACTTTTTCAGCTGGAATATTATTAGGGGTCCACTAGATGGATTCACGAGTTGTAATAATATTGGAGGTTTTGGCAATATTGGATTTTATAACTTTTAAGGATTATTATTTAGATTTCTTTCAGCTTATTTAATTATTTATTTCTTAATTCTTTTGTACTCATGCTTGTTTATATACTTAATTGTTTGGTATCCCTCGAATCTATGCTTGGACTTGATTATCTGTGGCTCTAGAATCGAGGGGTATCACAAACTTCCTAAGAAGATTCATTTTATAACCCACTTAAACTATATTCATCTTACCAAAAATTGCTACTTAAGCACCAAACTTTTTTTTATGATTAGTTTTAAAAGCAAAATAAAAATAAATTATAGCAAAACCAAACAAAATTTACCTCATCCACTATAGCATAATTTGGAGCTTGCCAATCTTACATAAATTGATTTGAAGAATATATCAATACACTTTGTAATTTTTTATTATAAGTGTTATACTAAAAATAATAATAACGTGTAAATAAATTTTCAAACCATATCGAATAATGTACTATTATATATAAATAATAATGTATTAATATATTTTAAAATTTTAAAAACAAAATAAAAACACTCCTGCCAAACATGTTTCTTGTTTTTGTTTCAGTAGTTTTGACAACAGTCAGACTCTGCCAAACATGTTTCGTTTTCAAGTTTCTTGAAACGAAAGAAGTTGCTAAACATGTTATACATGTTTCTACTTTCAAAATTCCCACTGCAAATTTGTGTCGCCAAACATGTTTTCATTTTCAACCCAGAACACTCCATAACAAAACATTTGTTTTGTTTCGAAGTAAAACAAAATGCCAAAAAAACAACGCTTACCAAACAGGGCCAACGTAATCAAAAAATTTAAATATACACATCACCAGATCAATAAAATTAGTTATTAATAGAGGTACCCAACACACGTAATATTAAACTGTTAAAGAAAAGAAAATCTGCTCCTTTTTTTAAATAAAAAAAATTATTTTTGTGTAAAAAGAACAATTAGTCAACTTTGGTAAAATATCTAGACCAATAAATTGAAATACGAATTCATTTTTATTTTTATTTTATTCATTAATGTATCTATTTTATTTCAAATTTATCATTTGTTGAATACATTCAACTAATAAAAGGAAAAACAAAACAAAACCATTTATGTACTAGCTTATAATTATTATTTTTTTTTAAAAAAAAGGCCTATCAAAGACATGCACATGATGAATATAATAAGTAAATAAAACTAAACAATTTTTCTATAATATTGTGAGAACCAAAAAGAGATTAATTATTTATTTTATGATAATAACTAAAATGGCAATTTTATTGTTCAGAATCTACCATAGATTCCTTTCGTACCTTCTTTTCCATTAAACACCTTTCATATCCCCCATTTATAAAAACACTCCTTGTATATATATATATATATATATATATATATATATATTCGAGTATATACAGGTCATATTGCAAGAAGTGATATATTGCATCAAGCCACATGATGTTCTATCCATCTATAAGTATCATCGAATAGTTCAAATAAATCCTTCAAACTAGAGTCCAAACTAGTAAACAACTATTGCAAGAAATGATATATTGCATCATGCCACATAATGTTCTATCCATCTATAAGTTCAAATAAATACTTCAAACTAGAGTCCAAACTAGTAAACAACTAATCACAATATATATATATATATATATATATATATATATATATATATAAAGATTAAAAAAAAATAAAAAAAATAAAAACATTTACATATAATGAGTTTCTCGACTCGCCTATAGGAAAACAATGATACCCAAAGTTGACAGGGACCCATTCACAATATGTATGTTACCATTCTTAATAATTATATCCCAATTGCATATAAATATACCTTTATATATAAATATACAAGAAAATGATATTTCTATTTCTGAAAAAGATTTTCTCACAATCCAAACAAATTTTCTCCTTTTCTCTCTCTCCCCTCTATTTAGAGAAGTTTACCTTTACCCTAAAATCTCCCTTTGGGCCCTTCGATTCAGGCTGGGTTTACTCCTTAGGCCATACTAGATAGGAGGCCCACTCATAATGTGGGTGAAATTGGGCCTAACATCGTCTAATAGCACCCCAGGCTTGGTGGACTGGGCCGAACGTGACCCAGTTTATTTTTTGTCCTTTCACTTGCCCCCTAATCTCTTTCTAATTTATTAGGGTGATATTAATGAGGGATGAATTATTATAATGTGACAACTCAATATGATGACGTGGGGATGTGGATGGTCTGCACAAAGATCCATGCTTTGAAAACAACGGCTTCATCATTATTATGCCACTTCGGTCAATGTGAGGGTTCCTTTTTAAAGCTTTAACCTACGCCTCACTCTCCTCTTCTATCCCTTTCAACCCTCCAACATACCAATCCTTTCTTTATCTCTAGTTATAAAAGGGTCCTTTTTCGACGAGACATTGAAATTTTCAACCTGTATCTTCCCGGTGACAATTTTATAACTTCATTCTTCGAGGTTAGTTCAACTGTGATGCCTAGTAACCCGTAACCCGACCTGATTTTGAGTCCAAAATGCGGAAGTGAAAACAAAAGAAGATGTCACTAGAGGTAAATATCACCTTTAGGAAGACAAACAAGCCTTATAAGAAGTCTCAAGACAAAATTGGAATACAAAAGCAAAAGCTAAACACAAAATGAACAAAATACGAAGATAAGGGTAAAATGGTCATTTTACTCAAAGCAGAGGAAATTTAACTCTAAATAAATCAAATGAAGTGATACCAATCCAAACTAAACAATTCAAGACATCCAAAGAGGTCCTAAGACTCAAAAGTCGAGGTTTCCCAAAAATACCTTATTCCGGTCATGTGATATCCCGACACTGTTCCACTAAAATAAGTTTAACTACCAGTAGGAATGGAATATGAAAATAGGGTTGATACCATTGGAAATATGACTTAAAATCATTGAGTTTAGACTCAAGAATGACCTAATTTGGATCTGGGATAAGAGAGATATGACCGTTACGAAATCGGGTGAAGAAGTTGGATAGTGCAAAAATAAAGGTGCTACCGGCAGTAGGGCACCCTGGGTGCCTGTGTATGCAAGCTACATGCGTGCTGGCAAGCACCCAGACAAGCTGCTACCGGTAATAGCTTTCTACTACCTATAACACCCCCACATTTTCCACGCATAAGCTGATCAGGCTTATACACGAAAAACGAGGGATATCAAAAACAATTGGCAATATACAAGCATGGAATACAAAATGATGATAATAAAAGAATTTAGACAAGAAAGGAACACTAAATAATACAACATCCATCCATCCTTTATTTAATACAGTACTTCATTACAACTTGGAAATCCTATGTCAAGGATCCCTAAATATAACCCTGAGAGTTCAACGTCAAAAGTAAATAAAAACTGAAACTGAAGTAATACATAAAACTTCTACCCTGAACTGGATTGTAAGAGTAGATGAGTTCGGATGGTGGTCCCACACTGCTAACCTCAACCTTGGAACGGGTACTGACCGTATCCTGAAATAACAACAATGGTGGGTCAACCCCACGAGCAAGTCCTCTCTACTATGACCCAAATCAGAGAATCAAATAAATTAATCATTATGAATCGGTTGAGTACTACATCTGTATACATCCTAAGGGAACTATCCCATGTATAACATGACCTCAACCAGAATAGACGGTGATCACTTAGACTCACACTAGGTGGTTAAGTGTCGCCTTTCCCCACCCGAGAAATAAGCTATTATACATGGTGCACGGTACTAACAACACAGACTATAACGAACTACACAGTCATAACACCTCACAAAGTACTGATGAATATACTGAGCATATAAGTTAGGCAACACATGCCAGCAATATTAATAAATATACCGAGTATGTTAATTAGACAACACATGCCCATAATATTAAACCACATACCCCGACAGCCACACATCTGTCTATAGCAACGAATGCATAAGGTATAAATGAGTCTAAACTTATTAGCCAGCTCATATGGTTCTATATGGCAACACATCCATATAATATAAATGCGACATAATTAAACAGTCCATTTATTTCCTAAAATGCACACAGCATAATAATCATGGTTTATATATCATTTAACAGTATAAACATCCCATAATATCTAATGGCTAATATATATGACGAAAACCGTGACATTATTAACAGTACTACTGAATACCATTTAATAAAACAATAACAGCATCTATAATAATGTTGATAAATGAATCACCTTCATATCCGTACAGTAAATGTGTCATTTAAGGTTTAGAAATATTAATCGGCCATAAGAATAAGTAACGGCTATTAAAATAATAATTTTGTGGCCCGTTAAACCCGTAAATACCAACACAGTACCTAAAAATCCACGTTTAAGGTTCTGGAATTTACAAAACAGGCCATAGGGGTATTCTGGTAATTTCTAGCAGCTGTAGAGACCCCACAAGCTCCCTCACGCGCCTCCCAGAGCCTCCCCACGCGCAGCCCAACCTTTCCCACTCTCCCACGCGCCTCCACGCGCGTCTGGCATCAGCCACGCGCGCGCACGCGCTCCCACGCGCGTCTGGAGAGTTCCACGCGCGCGTTGATGGCTTCCTACAGACGTGTCACTTCCTGGTTGGTTGGCTGCATCCGGACTCCGTACTCGCGTCACACCGGATCATCTCACCCTATCTTCCCTCCATCCAACGCTCACGGATCCGGGTGTACCGCGGTAACATGGACCGTGGTGCACCGGATCAATCGCTGCTGTTAATGGCCCAGATGCGCGCGAATACCCTCCTATGGTGTGCCGCATCACACCGGATCACTCCGGTCATCTCCCCCATTGCCGGCGACCGGAAAACTCGCCGGAAGGTCGCCGGAAATTGCAGAAACTTACCGGAAAATTCTAGAAAATTCTAAAAAAAAATCCCAAAGGCCATAATAATTATTTTTAGCTATATTTTGATTACATAGGCCATAAAATAATTATCGACCACTTTTAATAATTAAAATTTCCTTTCTTTAATAAATTAAAAAAATTAATTTAATAATTTCCTAGCATGATCTCTAAGCTCTATAATTATTTAAATAATCTAAACAATTAATTTATGGATTCAAAGGGAAAAAGTAGATAATAACTTGCCTTTTTGGATTTAAAATAAATCCGCCGGTTGCGCGTAGTCGGGTAAATTCCCTACACCGGTCCAAGCTCCTTTCTTTCTCTCTCTTCATTTCCACACTTTTACAATGGCTCACTAGAATTTATAATTTGTTTCTAACTCCCTTTCTTTCCTTCTAAGGTAGGCTAGCTAATTTATATACAAATTATATAATATAAATATTACAAATATCTATTTTTGCATTTAATTAACCACATTCCCAACCATAAGGCTTTAAGGCTAGCAAGCCAAGTCAAGCAAGATGTCCTAAGGTAAATCCTATCCTAAGATTTAATTTTTCATCATTACATTAATTTAATACTAATATTATTATTACTAATATTATTATTAATAAAACTTTTATAATTATTATTATATTATTATTATTATTATTATTATTATTAAACTATTATTATTATTATTATTACATAAGAATACATTATATCATTATAATACTTTATAACACAAATATAATACTTTAATTAACTAATAATGATTAATATAAGCATAACCAACAAATAAAATTATTAATAATAATACATGCATAATTAAATGAATAAATTTACTATTTTAACATGCACAATTAATTTACATGCACATTTAAATGAACTTAATATAATAATGTAGCATGCACAATAATAAGTAAAGAAATCCTCACATAATTGAATTTTTAAATAAACTAAACTCTTTAATAAAATACGGGGTATTACATTCTCCCCCCCTAATAACGGAATTTCGTCCCCGAAATTCACTACATACCTGTATTAAAAAGCTCTGGATACTTGGCACGGATAATATCTTCCCGTTCCCAAGTAGACTCTGTAGCACTATGATGACTCCACTGTACACGTACTAATGGAATAGTCTTCGTGCGCAGTATCTGATTCCTACGATCGAGAATACAGTAAGGTTGTTCCAAATAGGTTGCATCAGGTTGCAACTCAATTTCACCCACATCAATGTGTTGATATCGATCTTCTTCCCGTAGAAATTTTCGCAGCATAGATACATGAAAAACATTATGTACCCTATGAAGATTATCTGGTAGAGCCAGACGATAAGCTACTGCCCCAATCCGATCTGTAATCATAAAAGGACCCATAAACCGAGGCGATAACTTACCCTTTGACCCAAACCGCATTACTCCCTTCATAGGAGAAACCTTAAGCAAAACCTGATCACCAACCTTAAACTCCAAAGCACGAGTTCGACGGTCAGCATAACTTTTCTGTCTGCTTTGGGCTGTACGCATCCGATCCCTAATGATAGCGATCTTTTCTGACGTGTCCTTAATAAATTCAGGACCCAAAAAGCTGTTCTCAACAACTCCAAGCCAACAGACAGGAGACCTACACGGTCTACCGTACAAAGCCTCAAATGGTGCCATACCAATAGTTTTCTGATAACTATTGTTATAAGCAAACTCTGAAAGCGGCAAATATTCCTCCTAATTGCCCTTAAAATCAAGAACACATGCCCGCAACATGTCTTCTAAAATCTGATTAACTCGCTCAGTCTGTCCATCTGTTTGAGGATGATAAGCAGTGCTAAGATATAGTTCTGTACCCAAAGCCTGCTGAAAGCTCCTCCAAAATCCTGATACAAACTTCGGATCTCTATCTGATACGATGGACAATGGTACGCCATGAAGTTTCACCATTTCTGCAATATATAGCTTAGCATACTGTTCTGACGTAAAGTTTGACCGAACAGGCAGAAAGTGAGTGGACTTGGTCAATCTATCAACAATGACCCAAATAGAGTTGTGATTATGCTGTGAAGTAGGTAATCCCTCTATGAAGTCCATGGAAATACTCTCCCATTTCCACTCTGGTATGGGAAGTGGCTGTAACAATCCTGGCGGTCTCTGATGATCAATCTTAATCATCTGACAGGTGCTACATTTAGAGACAAAGATAGCTATGTCTCTCTTCATGCCGGCCCACCAAAACTGGCGTTTCATGTCCTGATACATCTTGTCTCCCCCTGGATGTACAGAGAACTGAGAAGTGTGTGTCTCTCTCATCACAACATTTCTCAAATTGTCAGCTGAAGGCACAATTAAACGTCCCTTGTACCTCAATCCTCCATCAGTCCCTATAGAATAAAAAGGAACATCTCCGGAGGCTAACTCCGAAACCCGATCAATACACTGTTGATCTGAGAGTTGCGCTTGAATGACTTGATGAATGATAGAAGGAGTTACTACCACACATGCCATAAAAGCGTCTGCTAACTCATCAACAGTCTTCAAAGCATCCCACTCTATTGCAAACAAAGCTGAAAGGCTGACATAGGGTCGGCGGCTGAGTGCGTCTGCTACAACATTCGCTTTCCCTGGATGATACTGTATAGAGAAGTGATAGTCTTTCACGAACTCCAACCATCTGCGCTGTCTCATATTCAGTTCCCTCTGTGTGAACAAATACTGTAGACTTTTATGATCGCTAAACAATCGAAAAGTCTCCCCCAAAAGATAATGTCTCCAAATACGCAAGGCAAAAACCACTGCTGCGAGCTCTAGATCGTGAGTCGGGTAATTAAGCTCATGAGGCTTAAGCTTCCTAGACCCATAAGAAACTGGTCGCTCTTCTTGCATCAACACACAACCCAAACCCTTCAGAGAAGCGTCGGTAAATACTAAATACTCGATTCCACTCTGAGGTGTGGCTAAGACAGGTGCAGAAGTTAACTTACTTTTCAACTCAGCAAAAGCAGTCTGACAAGAATCATCCCATACAAATGGTACATTCTTATTAGTCAGATGAGTAAGTGGACCCGCAATTTTGGAAAATCCCTAGATGAACCTGCGATAATACCCCGCCAATCCCAGAAAACTGCGAATCTCTGTCGGTGAGGTAGGCTGTCCCCACTCCATAACGGCCGCAACCTTGGCTGGATCTACTGCTAACCCTTCTTCTGACACTACATGACCCAGAAATTTGACCTCTTTCTGCCAAAATTCACACTTCTCAAACTTCGCAAACAACTGATGTTCTCGAAGTGTCTGCAACACTGTGCGTAAATGCCTGGCATGGTCCTTCTCCGACTTAGATTAAACCAGAATATCATTAATGAAAACAATGACAAACTGATCTAAGTATTCTCTGAATACTCTATTCATCAAGTCCATAAAGACAGCTAGAGCGTTCGTTAAACCGAAAGGCATAACACGAAACTCATAAGATCCGTACCTTGTGAGAAATGCTGTCTTTGGAACATCTTGTTCTCTGACTCGTAGCTGATGATATCCAGACCTCAAATCGATCTTTGAGAAGTAAGTAGCTCCCTTCAACTGATCAAACAGGTCATCAATTCTGGGCAACGGGTACTTGTTGCGAACAGTGACCTTGTTCAGTTCTCTGTAATCAATACAAAGACGAAGAGATCCATCCTTCTTCTTTACAAACAGTACTGGTGCTCCCCATGGTGAAGTACTCCTGCGAATAAATCCCTGGCTGAGCAACTGCTGAATTTGATCTTTCAACTCTCGCATCTCCACTGGTGCCATTCGGTACGGCGCCTTAGCAATAGGCGTAGTGCCTGGAGCTAAATCAATAACGAAGTCTATCTCTCGACTCGGTGGCAAGCCTGGAATTTCCTGGAATACATCCTGGAATTCCTGTACTACCGGGATGCTGTCAAGAGATACCGCAGTCGCTTCCTGTGAGTCTTCTTCAAGAACGAATAAATAAGTGCTAGGCCCTCTATCAGGTTGTGGTACAACAAGAAGATACATCTCCTGTCCTGGTATAGCAAAGACAATAGACTTTTCGTAACAGTTAACCTGAGCATGGTACTGAGATAACCAGTCCATCCCAAGTATAACATCATACGAATGCATATCTAACACTAACAAATTTGCAAGAAATCGAAGCCGGCCCATATCTATAAGGATATCACCACTACACTCTCGTAAAATTACGCCAACTCCCAATGGTGTATAAATATTAAGAGGTTGGTCACATAACTGAGTCATCATACCAGATAAGATAACAAAAGATCTAGACACAAAAGAATGTGATGCACCAGTGTCAAACAGTATACGAGCAGTTCTACCATGTATAGAAAACATACCCTCAATAGCCTGAGGAGCCAGCGCATTATGTGGCATGAAGTTATAAACTCTGCCATGATGCAACTGCTGTGGAGGTTGTCCCGGAGGAAATGGTGGTGCTGGAAGTGCCGGAACATTTTGAACTTGCCCACGTGGCATCGGTGGGGCCGGTAGAGGTAACGGCTGATTAGGTCTCGGCTGCCCATACTGTCCCTGCTTAGCTTTGGGACACATCTTGGCCGGATGCCCAATCTCTCTACAGTGATAACAACGTCCCGTAAAAGGACCTGCCTGCTTCCTCTGTTGACTTCCCGACCACTGTTCCTGTCCGGTCTGAGGTATCCCACCTTGTCTACCCTGATTAGGGACTCCATCCCTCTGCACAACTAGGTTTCCTTTGTTTTTCTTCCAAGGTTGATGTCCTTGAAATCTGCCCCGATCATTGGACTTGGTACCACTGCTGCTTCCTTTCTCCACTGTCTGTTAGTCTCGGTTAGTCCGCTTATCTCCCTTGGACTTCCGGTAATCACTCCTCATCTGGCAGTGCTGTAAAGCGGCATTAACCACCTGGATATAAGTAGTATATGCAGGACTACCTATGATCACCACTTTAATCGGCCATATCAACCCTTTCACAAAGCGGTCTCTCTTCTTTTCTTCCGTATTGACCTCCTCTGGTGCAAATAATGACAAATTAATGAACTTCTGTTCATACTCAGCCACAGTCATATCCTCCTGTTGCAGATCCAGAAATTCAGTCTTCATCGCTGATCTTACTGACATAGGAAAATACTTGTCGTCAAAGCGAGTCTGAAATTCAGCATAAGTTAATCTGGTCCTCTCTTCGACAGTAGTAATAGACTCCCACCACTGCAATGCATTGCCTATCAGCATAAACGTAGCTAGCATCTGTTTCTGTACTTCGGTACAGATTACCATCCGAAGATGACGCTCGCTCTCCTGTTTCCACTGATACGCTAACAAGACATCTGTGGACCCCGCAAATGTCGGTGGATTCCCTCTGATAAACGAGTGACGAGTTTTGTCCCATGACATTGGCTGCGCCACTGGTTCAGGAACAGGTACTATCGGAAGAGGTTGCTGGTTTCGTAGAGCAGATGCTACTCTTGCTGCTACAGCTCGTGCAATGATATCAGCAACTTGAGGGGAAAATTCCTGATTCTCATTTTGAGTTGGGGAAATACTGCGATGCTGGTTCGCATTCCTTGTCCCACGCTGAGACATCCTTCTTTTAAATTCAGAAAAATCTAACGTCAGTACATTATAATGGACCGACTAAAAGAATACAAAGAACCCTAATACTTAGGCTCTAATTATCAGAATACACAACGCGAAAGTATAGTAATCACAGATCCCTAAGACACTCGAACCTGGAATGCTCTGATACCAACTGTAACACCCCCACATTTTTCACGCATAAGTTGATCAGGCTTATACACGAAAAAAGAGGGATATCAAAAACAATTGGCAATATACCAGCATGGAATACAAAATGATGATAATAAAAGAATTTAGACAAGAAAGGAACACTAAATAATACAACATCCATCCATCCTTTATTTAATACAGTACTTCATTACAACTTGGAAATCCTATGTCAAGGATCCCTAAATATAACCCTGAGAGTTCAACGTCAAAAGTAAATAACAACTGAAACTGAAGTAATACATAAAACTTCTACCCTGAACTGGATCGTAAGAGTAGATGAGTTCGGATGGTGGTCCCACACTGCTAACCTCAACCTTGGAACGGGTACTGACCGTATCCCGAAATAACAACAATGGTGGGTCAACCCCACGAGCAACTCCTCTCTACTATGACCCAAATCAGAGAATCAAATAAATTAATCATTATGAATCGATTGAGTACTATATCTGTATACATCCTAAGGGAACTATCCCATGTATAACATGACCTCAACCAGAATAGACGGTGATCACTTAGACTCACACTAGGTGGTTAAGTGTCGCCTTTCCCCACCCGGGAAATCAGCTATTATACATGGTGCACGGTACTGACAACACAGACTATAACGAACTACACAGTGATAACACCTCGCAAAGTACTGATGAATATACTGAGCATATAAGTTAGGCAACACATGCCAGCAATATTAATAAATATACCGAGTATGTTAATTAGGCAACACATGCCCATAATATTAAACCACATACCCCGATAGCCACACATCTGTCTATAGCAACGAATGCATAAGGTATAAATGAGTCTAAACTTATTAGCCAGCTCATATGGTTCTATATGGCAACACATCCATATAATATAAATGCGACATAATTAAACAGTCCATTTATTTCCTGAAATGCACACAGCATAATAATCATGGTTTATATATCATTTAACAGTATAAACATCCCATAATATCTAATGGCTAATATATATGACGATAACCGTGACATTATTAACAGTACTACTGAATACCATTTAATAAAACAATAACAGCATTTATAATAATGTTGATAAATGAATCACCTTCATATCCGTACAGTAAATGTGTCATTTAAGGTTTAGAAATATTAATCGGCCATAAGAATAAGTAACGGGTATTAAAATAATAATTTCGTGGCCCGTTAAACCCGTAAATACCAACACAGTACCTAAAAATCCACGTTTAAGGTTCTGGAATTTACAAAACAGGCCATAGGGGTATTCTGGTAATTTCCAGCAACTGTAGAGACCCCACACGCGCCCTCACGCGCCTCCCAGAGCCTCCCCACGCGCAGCCCAACCTTTCCCACTCTCCCACGCGCGTCTGGCATCAGCCACGCGCGCGCACGCGCTCCCACGCGTGTCTGGAGAGTTCCACGCGCGCGTTGATGGCTTCCTGCAGACGTGTCACTTCCTGGTTGGTTGGCTGCATCCGGACTCCGTACTCGCGTCACACCGGATCATCTCACCCTATCTTCCCTCCATCCAACGCTCACGGATCCGGTTGTACCGCGGTAACATGGACCGCGGTGCACCGGATCAATCGCTGCTGTTAATGGCCCAGATGCGCGCGAATACCCTCCTATGGTGCGCCGCATCACACCGGATCACTCCGGTCATCTCCCCCATTGCCGGCGACCGGAAAACTCGCCGGAAGGTCGCCGGAAATTGCAGAAACTTACCGGAAAATTCTAGAAAATTCTAAAAAAAAATCTCAAAGGCCATAATAATTATTTTTAGCTATATTTTGATTACATAGGCCATAAAATAATTATCGACCACTTTTAATAATTAAAATTTCCTTTCTTTAATAAATTAAAAAAATTAATTTAATAATTTCCTAGCATGATCTCTAAGCTCTATAATTATTTAAATAATCTAAACAATTAATTTATGGATTCAAAGGGGAAAAGTAGATAATAACTTACCTTTTTGGATTTAAAATAAATCCGCCGGTTGCGCGTAGTCGGGTAAATTCCCTACACCGGTCCAAGCTCCTTTCTTTCTCTCTCTTCCTTTCCACACTTTTACAATGGCTCACTAGAATTTATAATTTGTTTCTAACTCCCTTTCTTTCCTTCTAAGGTAGGCTAGCTAATTTATATACAAATTATATAATATAAATATTACAAATATCTATTTTTGCATTTAATTAACCACATTCCCAACCATAAGGCTTTAAGGCTAGCAAGCCAAGTCAAGCAAGATGTCCTAAGGTAAATCCTATCCTAAGATTTAATTTTTCATCATTACATTGATTTAATACTAATATTATTATTACTAATATTATTATTAATAAAACTTTTATAATTATTATTATTATATTATTATTATTATTAAACTATTATTATTATTATTATTATTATTACATAAGAATACATTATATCATTATAATACTTTATAACACAAATATAATACTTTAATTAACTAATAATGATTAATATAAGCATAACCAACAAATAAAATTATTAATAATAATACATGCATAATTAAATGAATAAATTTACTATTTTAACATACACAATTAATTTACATGCACATTTAGATGAACTTAATATAATAATGTAGCATGCACAATAATAAGTAAAGAAATCCTCACATAATTGAATTTTTAAATAAACTAAACTCTTTAATAAAATACGGGGTATTACACTACCAGTAGTAGAAAGCTGAACCTACTGGTGAATAGTAAATTTAGCCAAAAATGCTAAAAACAAACTTTGGTGTCTTGCTTCCCTTTGCCCCAAATTGGTCCTTAAGGTCTCTAACAATTATCCTAAGTAAAGTAAAGCATAGAATGGTATAAAGACACCCCAAAATGCATGAATTACCAAAATTTAAACATTTTGATAAAAAAATATATATATATATATACATTTCCATACATTCAAAAGAAATGACCCTTGACCTCAAATACAATCTCTTGAAATTAATATACATGCTTTTACAAAAGTAAAGTTATGATTTTACATTTCCAAATGAAGAAGTATGCCATATTGAGTTTAAAACTCTAAATTATACATGGTAATTTGTTTCCATTAAAATTACATCCAAAAGATAAATAACAACAAAAATCTACAAGTAAGCCCAAAGGTGAGTCTTCAACTCTAAAATCATTCGTAGGTACTCCGTTCCTAAAAAATGTTTATATAATAGGGAGTTAGCAAAACAGCTTAGTAGGGTATGGATTATACAAGCAAATGCGTTCTTCAAAATCCCAAGGACATGCAAGAATGCTTGGCATCCTAAGGATGAAGGGTCATACAACCTAAAGCCTAAGTTTCGTGAAATAAAAAGGGGATCATACACCCTAACTCTAATTTCCGTAGCATGATAGTCCGACTCAACTCAAGTTGTCACATAATCAAATCATGCATTAAAATACCAAGTTGTCAAATAATAACCATAAAGAATCATAAATCGAATAAGGCACACTATCACATAATGACTACCACGAAACTATAATCATAACGAAATCCACATAATCCCATGAATTATGAACTCAACACAACCCACAAACCTCATTATAATGCAACTCACACATGTAACTCCATGATGCAAAATGATGTTGTGCCGAAATCAAATTCCGCACCTAGAAACAAATGAGTGCCCTTCCACACCTTATGGATAGCATTTATCCATCAAATAACTGAGTGCCCTTCTGCACCCTATCGATAACATTTATCCATCAAATGTATATATATATCATGAATGTTATACTACGTACCCAATGCACCCATGAACCCAATGACAACCACAATGAACCCATGGCTAAAGTGGCATACACACCATGACTCATACATGATGAAGGTAATCTCAAT